AAAGCAATACTATTGTGTATATCATGCGATACATATTGTGTATATCAATGTGATACTTGTGTATATCCATGCGATACCTGTTGTGTATATCCATGTGATACTTGTGTATATCCACGCGATACTATTGTGTATATCCATGCGATACTATTGTGTATATCCAAGCGATACCTATTGTGTATATCCATGCGATACTATTGTGTATATCCATGCGATACTATTGTGTATATCAAAGCGATACCTATTGTATATACCAAAGCAATACCTATTGTGTATATCCATGCGATACCTATTGTGTATATCAATGTGATATCTTGTGTATATCCATGCGATACCTATTGTGTATATCCATGTGATACCTTGTGTATATCCATGCGATACCTATTGTGTATATTAATGTGATACCTTGTGTATATCCATGCGATATCTATTGTGTATATCAAAGCGATACCTATTGTGTATACCAAAGCGATACCTATTGTGTATATCCATGCGATACCTATTGTGTATATCAATGTGATACCTATTGTGTATATCAAAGCGATAACTATTGTGTATACCAAAGCGATACCTATTGTGTATATCCATGTGATACCTATTGTGTATATCCATGCGATACTTATTGTGTATATCCATGCGATACCTATTGTGTATATCAAAGCGATACCTATTGCGTATATCCATGCGATACCTATTGTGTATACCAAAGCGATACATATTGTGTATATCCATGCGATACCCATTGTGTATATCCATGTGATACCTATTGTGTATATCCATGTGATACCTTGTGTATATCCATGCGATACCTATTGCGTATATCCATGCGATACCCATTGTGTATATCCATGCGATACCTATTGTGTATATCAAAGCGATACCTATTGTGTATATCCATGCGATACCTATTGTATATATCCGCGCGATACATGCAATATATGCCGTCGCACTGTGACATCATATGTTTACATTGTTGCCAAACAGCATGCACATGTGTGATAACAAAAGTCGCTTGCTGATCAACACAGGCTCGCGATCTGCTGCTACAACATTACCCAAAAGTTGTGTTATATATAATAACAGAAACAGACAACAATCCGTTATTTTATCTTCAAGTGCAAGCGACCGGTTCTGGACAACAGTTACTGCGCACGCGCACAGAAAATAAACAAGCGTGACGGCCTATACTACCCGCGGTTTTCAGCATCACATGATACCGCTGACCGAGTACGTCACACATTCTGCTGTCTCGTTCGTAGCCAGTCGTTTCAATGCACACTGAAACGACCCTCTAAATATCTATAAATTACACCACTCCAGACAGAAGGTAAATATTTGATTTGAAATAGTGACAAATCCCGCAGAAGTTCATTTAATTGTATGCACGAGACGTTGGTCGTCCGCGCCATCAACGTCACCAACCAATTAGAACAAGCCTACAATTTGTTGATACAACAACACGCGCCAGAAAATCGAGAACAAATTTTATTCTTGTGATAAGAACTTGAGATTTTTCGGAGACAAAGAAGTTGACTATAATTAAATAACTCCTTCAAAGTTGTAATATTACAATAACAACCCAAAATTGATCCTAGAATCGAATATTTCTGGTTCTATTGAACGTGCTCATAAATGTTGAAAATATATAGTCTGCCACTGTGTAATGCCACGTGATTAATGACGTAATCCTTGAAAACGGTTTCAGACGGTGTTTCTTTCACACTTTTTAAAAATCCCAATTTCCTTTTTTCGTGTTTAATATTTCTACCATAGTTGAGTCCTAATAGACGCGATCAACTTACTCGAGGCGAGGGTTTGACCTCTGACCTCATCATGTTTGTCACGCCACAACCCCAATGACAGGTGAGATAGCTTTACATCCCCGGTATTAACTGTGATAACTGCTCGGTAGCTGTCAGCCAATCAGCAGCCGCCTGGGGACATGACGAAACTGAGGCCCAGTCCCGATAACAGTATCATGGCTTTTACTGTCAAATTAAATCTATCACACTGACTGTGTTCTAAGATATCAAGATAAATCAGTCTGTACTGCCATTTTAATGATATTCATCATAGTCATTGATTTAAAACATAACTTTTCCATCTCTGTTTAATATAGTTGATAATATGTTAAATTGAAACTACTAAAGTGCTATAGTACAGGACATATACGTATATAATCATTTTTGCCGCCAACATTCACATGCAACATTGTGCACAATTTTATGGAATTTTTAAATAAATTCGTTGTTAAATTTAGACCAAAAATGTCGTCCATAAAGGTTTAGTTTTATCACGTGACACAATATGTTGAGTTCGACCCCAATCCCATTTTATTTTCACTGCAGAATATTTAGTTAAAAGCTGTGCCGCGTACGTAACTCGCAACGACCATATCTGGTTAAAACAGGGTGTGTTTAACAAGCTTTTTCTAGCATCTTCAAATTTCACGTGAAAAGAGAGAAAAATATACTCAAAAGCCAAAAACATAGATTATATTTTAATCAGTTTGCCTGACGACACACTTCCCATCTATCGCAACAACGAGAATAGTCACATTATATCAGCTTGGTAGCGTTCTGTATCGTGGTGGCCTCGTTTTTGTGTTACTTAGTATCCGATCTCCAGTTCAAGTATTGGATCGGGGCGTTTAAATCTCAATTCTTTTGGTATCCATAATGCATCACGATTACATCACATGAGTGGGTAAACTCCGCTTCCGAAAAAAAATGACTCGGTAAGGGAACCGCACATACATTAGGTTGATTCTGGTGTTTTCTCGAAACCAGAAAAGGCGGCGTATATGGACACAAGATGATCAGATATCGATGGATTCAGCATTGTAATTTCGTAGATGGAACTTAACTACAGAGTTGAATCGGAGTATGTGAATATTGGGATCCCGGATGTAGATTAGATAGCTGAGTGGCGGAAGGTTTGAGAAGACCTCCAGGGAATTGAATCTAGAATACAAATAAGTTTATCGGACTTCGTATCAGGATTAGCGGTGTATATATTATTACAGTCAACTCTCGTGAGAGTGATTTATATTCAATATTGGTTAGACAACAAAAAGATGCCCATCAAACCGGAAAATTTCGGATGGCTTTACAGTTTCATTGCCCTGTGATTCGTTGTTGATGTTATTCCGTCATTTGGTCTTTTCTCGACCGATGACAAGATCGAACGCTCAAATGTACTTGATTCATGACGTTATATAGGTCGCAAAGTCTAAAATAACGGCGATGGTTTTTGAAGTCACGGTGGCAATAACGACGATGGGCAATTTTGTCAACAGCTTGCGTTCTAATCTTTCAACGAGAAGGGGCATTATCTTTCATTAGGAGGATATCCTAATTAGTTTAACTTACTGCACATATTTAGTTGTGCTTTTAACATAAAATAAAAAGTATTTGATTTGGAACAGAAATATCCCGCCGCTGGGGTAGACTCCTAGTTGACTCCACCCCTTCTCCCGTGGAGAATATGTCATCATATCTGTACACATCTTCATTGAACTATGTGCATGTTTCAAGAGAGTCTCTGGCAAACAGGAAACGACCAGACTCGATTGATGTCAGATCTGCCTCACAGTGGTACTTGCTATCGTCCGGTAATCAAGATATGCATCTCTTCCCGTGCCCTGCTCTTTTTTCCTACTTTAAATCACGTTTGTATCCCCGGGTTACGCGCACATTTACTGTTTCAGATACCGTAATTACACAACCAGACGCTGTCACTTTGGGAATTAATCAGAAAGGTTGTTGTTTTTTGTTTTTTTATTTCATAGTTTATTTATCACACTGTTCAAGTCCTGTGGATTTTTGTAGTGGGCTAAACCGCAAATGTTCTTGTATTTGCAACATTTATTAAGATAAACCAGAGTTTCACCAAATACATCTATTGTCGTTTGAATTAAGGATAGAAATAGTCCTTTTTTCACGAGAATTGGTTGACATGTTTGACAATAAACTCACCTGACGAAGCTAGTCTGCTACTTGCCGCGCCGAACATTTGATATGGATCTGAAAAATACAATAATAGAAGGACATGAGAAACATATTACCCAGGTTTTACGGAAACAATATTTTTATCACAGCTGTTTCATAATCCGGGTAAAATGCTATGAGTTGCTTTGCCGCGCCGTGTTCGACACTGGTCCATGCATGTGACGCATTATGCAGTCCGTGTAAAAAAATGGTTTTTATATTCACAGATTTTAGAAATAAGCATCACGACGTAAAATACCGTTACCTTTCGGCACCTTGAAAGCGAGAAAAACGAAACGCGATGACAACAACTTACTAAATGCAATGAAACCAAACTACGAAACGCACTGAAACCAAACTACGAAACGCATTGCAATCAAACAACGAAACGTACTGAAACCAAACTACGAAACGCACTGAAATCAAACTACGAAACACACTAAAATCAAACTACGAAACGCACTGAAATCAAACTACGAAACGCAATGAAATCAAACTACGAAACGCACTGAAATCAAACTACGAAACGGACTGAAATCAAACTACAAAACGCACTGAAATCAAACTACGAAACGCACTGAAATCAAACTACGAAGCGCACTGAAATCAAACTACGAAACGCACTGAAACCAAACTACCAAACGCACTGAAATCAAACTACAAAACGCACTGAAACCAAACTACGAAACGCACTGAAATCAAACTACGAAACGCATTGCAATCAAACTACCAAACGCACTGAAATCAAACTACAAAACGCACTGAAATCAAACTACAAAACGCACTGAAATCAAACTACTAAACGCACTGAAATCAAACTACAAAACGCAATGAAACCAAACTACGAAACGCACTGAAATCAAACTACGAAACGCATTGCAATCAAACTACCAAACGCACTGAAATCAAACTACAAAACGCACTGAAATCAAACTACAAAACGCACTGAAATCAAACTACGAAACGCACTGAAACCAAACTACCAAATGCACTGAAATCAAACTACAAAACGCACTGAAATCAAACTACGAAACGCACTGAAACAAAAACGTCATGATATCAAACTTCGAAGCGCGCTCACGTGAAACACCCCGTCGCAAAACTGTTAACAAAACTTGAAAGCACTACAAATTCTTGATATTTTAGGGAGTAAAAGGCTTTGCGAATTGCGAGACGAAGCGTTAATCCCTACTTTGTCGGTTATTTTAGATTGGAACATGGGAAAACCAGTGCATACAATTAAGGTTCATAACTAAAAGTAGTAGTTCGGGCATCCCAAAGTCTTTTCTTTGGGATTTAAAACGCAAAATCACAAAGAATGTTAGCTACGATCATCCTTACATTCACACCGTCTCGTGTTCGATATGAGTGCCGTTCGATGTATACAACTTGAATGCATGTAAAACAGCGTGTTTTGAACTTCCAGTATTCGAAACGCGTGCTCCACGACGACTGTGGGGTTTTAATGTTCTTACTTTTGATAACGAAATTGGACTATCAACTTGACCCCCAATTTGTTCAATACAATTAACAATATAATAATCCGACCTGAGATAAATGTAAGGAGTTGAATTATTGACATGTGTGTATACTAGTATACACTGCGTCATTTGTCATGCAACTTATTGCAGGTAGCATTGCGTTCAAAGCGTTGACTACCGACTCAGTTTCCCGGCATGCTTCCTTCCGTAGCTGCTCGAGTTACCGCCACCAATGCAATTGTCATCTCTTTTCCTGATAAACACTCACGGAAAAGTCGATACGGAAACTAGTTTTCCAGTTAGCAAGGAAACCGGTGACGACTGGGAAAGACGATTTGGGGGCTCCAGTCGTGATTATTGCCGACTACTACACTGCAAAGTCAAGCTCACTTCCATACTAATGTGTCCTTTCCTCTGATAGAGACGACAAATTGAATATTCAATATTCCTAATCGGCTAGATTCAGTTTGGACCCTTTTTTCATGGGAGATAGTTAAAAAAAAAAAGCGGCATCGCCACACTGTGATCGGTGCTTTAAACGGAGCAGGTAAACGAAGCATACAGCAACTGTTATCATTAACGCTCCGTGAAGTAAGCGGTCATTAAAAGGTTTTCTGGAACAATTAATGTTATATTTAATTAGACAATGATTTTGCTAAAACGGCTGAATGTTACAGTCTGGGATGCCGCCGTGCCTTGAGGGTTGAGTAACTAAATTAAGTTGAAATACGACATAACGATTTCCCATACTGCGCGGCAACTGACTGGTCAAAGCACAGACCCTGCGGGTGGTTTTAATCGCTTACATGGACTGGTCACCCAGTCCGCTATATTTATTAGTCGTTTAGTCGCCTTTTAACGAACACCGATTACAATGGTATTTACGTTAATTTTGTTTGCAAACCGTCGTTTATCCATCTCCCTTGTGTGTTTGCGTCGGGTTTCCAATTACCTCAATTCTCTGCACCGTCTTCGCCGTTTTAGCAACTAGATTCGGTTGTGCTATATTGCCGACGGCTTTTTCGCTTTAAGCTAGTTGATGTGCACCAAAATAATCTAATGACGTAGATTCAAGGCACTCACATAGCTCTGTAACACTTCCTCAAAGTTCTGTCTTGACTTTGAATTTGGCAGATTAATAATACTAATACAATTTTAAACAATTTTACTTTTTTTATGTTCAACAAATATATTTTTTATGGGTGGGATGCGATCTCTGTTATTAATCTATGATTTCACCAATCTATGAATCAGGAGTTCGTCGTCCATATTTTTTACGTCACAAAGGTATGATGACACAGTTTGTACAAAGTTGGTCATCTGAGGTAGACAAAGTGGTGAGATATTGGCAAGTGGTGAATATTTTCTTTAACTTTAATTGTGGTCTATGCTGCTTCGTTTTCCGGGCCCTTTGCCATGTTTGGTGTACGCTTGGTGTCCGACGACACTTCCGACATGGCGACACCACGTACGTATTAAATGCGGCTGCCTTTAATCGTTTTTGTGCTCAATTAACGAAAAAAAGACGAAATAAATGAAATCAACATGACCCAAAACAGCATTGTGAGTCAATTAGTTACGGCAATACGGCTTAATTTCAAGGCTACGCTTCATAATCAGAAGTAGCTCTCCCCGAGCAAACTAAAATATAATACCAACTATCCGATATCCGATCAGACACCATAATATATTTTGTGCGTTTTACGTCCATGTAGACAAATTAATTGACAATATTACCATAATAGTATATATTTCAATTACACGTGATCATATTCAAAGTACCTTTAACGGTCGGGATTGACTTATTGACTGACAACGACTTTAAACAGTAACCTGACACGTGACTTATAGCAGCCTGTGTTGGGAATGCCCAAATCCAATCAGCATCCCCTGGGGGAGTGGGAATTATCTATTGCCGAGAAATAAAGACCGATTGTGCTTTTTTGAAGTCTCAAGCGGGCTACTGAGTATCTGGTTGTCCCATCTCATAGAACTATTGAATTAAGTATAAAATCACATTATATCGAAAAGTGATTGTAGGATTTATCTCCGCTACGCTCGATCAACCAGAATAACTGTGTTCGTTTCTCGTACATGTTTGCAGCTATCGCAAATACCCCCTCCCTCCGCCGATCGTTCGATGACATTACTCTTCCCGTCAACAGTAGACACGCGGGCGGATAAAATGAGCTATTAACCTCCAAAAATCCCCATATTTAGTGTCCATGCTCCTCTTTAATAACACTCATTTGGGATCGCGGCGGGCAGCTGTGAAGGGTACCGTGTTGACCTCATATCCCTCTATACGGGAGACAACTCCACCGTTAGACGGTGATGACATGATTACGTTTCCGCATCTCCGTCAGAAGGACGACAATTACAGTGATTGTCGCCTTCGGGTGATTTTTCAAGATATTGTGATGAATGTAATTCACACATAGAGGTGACATCCATCTAGCAAATGATGGAGATTACATCGAACATCATACCCCGTCGTCCACCGTGACTTCGGGACTCCGGAAAACGGCCATATTGTTAGTTTAAAGATTACCAAACTTTATAATATGCAACAAACGAGTGGTAATTAAAGGTGGATATCATTATATATTGCATATAATGTTTTATATAGCTAAAATTATAATGAAAGAATAATAAAATTAATAATAAAGAATAAAATAAATTATTAGTACATACACTGAATTTAATTTAGGCTTGGACGGCTTTATATAAAACATATGATCACATGACGGTTTAAAATAACTCGACCAATTACAACGTTTTGGCAGAAAAACACGTATGTTTATACTAGTAATTGCATAACGGTTAGTTTTACCTTTGACCCTGCTGCCTAAAAATGAAAATGTATATCTGCAAAAAATTAATTGCAAGCGTTTTGAATATATTTAATGGAATCTCTGTTCCACGCAAATCCGTCATCAATGGGGGAAAGACGCAGGGAATTATGGGAAAGTGCGTTACCAGGGATCTTCTCTAGCCAGTAAAAACTTTTTCTGCTGATTTTAATGTAACACGGAGTAAGTTGTTCAAATTTCTGAAACAACTAAGTAAAATTCAAACATAACAAATAATTATGTATAATAGTTGTCTTAAATGAGATACATTGATCAGTTCCAGATAATTTTAGTTTCGCACTTTTTGTCGTGACATCATAGTTTTGGATGTTCTTTACTTGGTTTGCGGTCATTCAAAATCAAAATGTACTCAGAGTTGAACCGTACTATTTTTGTTTGAAAGTTGTTCTGCCACAAGAACTTATGCTGTGATCGACATCCAGGTATCTTCCTAATCTAAGCTAGTTTACTATTATGTAGAATTGAATCGTTTCCATGGTGATTGACTTGTCGGTCTACAAACGCGTATTTAACATAGTCACATTATTTGTGCCGGAAAACGGAATATTTCATTTCTATTGATATGCCATTGTTTGGAAGTAATAGTCGTAAAATTAACCCATGGCGGGGGACTCTTCGAAAATCATACTGCGAAACTGAAATAGACAACTATTATGAAATGTTACCATGTCGCGTGCTGAGCTACACGCGCCTTGTGATTTCAAGCAGATAGCATTGTTCTGTTGTAGATTTAAATCGAAATTATGTAACAAAAAATGTATACTATTAACAGCTACATTATTGGACTCAAACAAAATATTAAAACATAGCAATTGTATGTAAGATGATTCCTGGCTCTTGATCGCCGACGAAGCAGCAGTTTCCTCGCTCATGTATAATACTAGTACAATAGAACAGAGATCGTCACGTGATGATCGTAGATAGGAACAAGCTGTCTTCTCAAACTGACGCTTGTTCACATCCGGGTTTCACACCTATTCCGATCGATTACCGTATGCGATATCAAAACACGGAAGTCTTTACAAATTGTTCATCTGATGTTATTCTTGTTGGGGAATAGGCGTATTTCCTACAGGAAGAATAATTCTCTGGAACGAGGTTGGAGATAGTTGTCTAACTATAAACATCCACCTTCAAAAGTGGTAATAATCTACTTGGATGTCGTCGAGTTTGGCGTGCTATACTGATAATCCAAATAAGGAAAAATATCCCACATATAGACATTGATGCTTCCCGAGTAAATTAACCGTAGAGTGATACGGCAAAACTAGATGTTTCCTCGTCAACGCGCGTATCGGTTTCTGAAAAGTGTATCACACTATTTAGGGCGTAATATGCCAAAAAAGAGGGAAAGAAAATAATTTGGCCACCGTACCATGATTTTACCATATCAGGACTAGACGCAAATCGTTATTCTGGGTATACACCGATAGTTCACCGTTCATTGTAAGAAACATATGAAAAACATTATGAACTATTTTTAATATTCAATACAATTATACTATGTGGCTTGTAATCCAATATGGCGGTCATTTGAATTTATTACAAAATAGTGGAAAAAAAACACAGGAAACACAAATATGCTGGTACATTTTAAACTAGAACGAGAAAAAAAGAAAACAGCTAATTTGCTGAGATATTTTGGGGAATTTCACAGACATACCAGTCTAATCTGTCCCTAACTGTGTAAATAATTATCATCTAAACACAGCGCCCTCTCTGTCTTGTATAATAACGCGAATTATATAGTTTGATTCTAATATAATAGTATATTGTAATATTTAAAATATTTTTTATGCAGTTATTCATTTGCGCCCTATATATTTTAAATTATTTCGAATGCATGATTCACTTGGTAGAAAAGAGATAATTGGAAAAAAAAATTCTAAGATTTAATGAGGAGAGCAGAATAACTCAAAGTTGAAATGTATGACTATCGCATTGCTAAAGCTGTGCATGAGTACGTCACCCCACCCCAAGCGTATTGGCTGATTTAAATGATATCAACCTTTTCAGATGAATCAAATCGTAAATATTTTTGAAAAAAATAAACGACGCTATCATATTTTTAGAAATAAATATACAGCTGTTGAAAATAAACTTTAGCAAATCAGATAACTTGTCGTGGAACGAGGCTAAGGTGAGATGGTTGTCGTGGTTTCTTTCCTGGCTGTTTCCTTTGCTACACTGAGAAGTCGATTTCCTTTCATGTTCGTTTCCCATGTGTCATTTCATACTGCTATCAGTGCTTAGCGATGAAATCAACAAACAATACCCAGTACAACATATGCTATTGAACAACTACCAACTCAATCTACTGATGACGTTATCAACACTATCATCATGCATATCAATGCGCAAACACGTGCGCGTCTCTTACACGTCACTTCCGGCATACTCAGAACCAATTCAATGGTAATTAAAATCTACGGGCTTTAGTTTAGTGAATGAAAAAAAGCTAAAAATCAATGCTCAGTAAAATTGGTGTAAAAAGATTTATATCTTATTGTCAATTTCACTCGTTCCTCATTCTTTATTCCATCTTTGGAACTCCGATGCATATCGGGCTCGTTCCAGGATGAATCAGAGCATTTACCCATTGTACCGAAATTCCTGTTTTGCGATTGGGGACGAAGATAAGGAAATACACGTCCAGTGCACTGCGCCGAGAATATTAAGTATTTCTTTGTTCACATTCCACGTCGTTTTCTTTCCACGACCAAGCGGAGGTTCAGCAAAATTAACAACCCTGTTTATCACACAAATGTATAACTCATGTCATACAAACAAATAACATCATGATTGAACTGTTTATCTTAAATGGAAGTGCTTCTCCATTCTCTCCATAGAAGATACGACACGACGGTTCCCTTGTTATTTCAAAGCGTTGCGAACCCCGAGTATTTCAAATTTATGCCATTTTGAATTTATTGTGAATATGATGCGAAAAACAGAATATCTATTTTGAATTCAGAGATAATTTTAAAACATATTATACAATTATCACATCCTAATTTGAATATCTGGAGGTGTGACGCAATATCCCATAGAATAAGCAACGTATGAAATTTCGTCTTTCACTCTCAGAGTGGGCTAATGTTTGAATGCCACGACTCTTGAATCCATTGTCCTGAGTGTCAAACTGTCGTTCAACTTGGGTAACCATACAGCGTTCTCAAACAAAATCAAGCGACAATATTCATAAGATTATTGTAATTATTGAGTGGCCTCTTAAGGATCAGAAATGTCTCCTTCACGAATCTGAAAAACTCTTTATGTTAACACTCATGTCATGCTGTCCATGTTACAACTATCACGTGTATCCTGAAAATACTGTGTCTAAATCTGTCCAACAAATATAAGTATGATTTTAAATCATATCTATGCACAAATTGCTGTATCAGATGCTAAAACTCCAACACGCCAATAATCACCATCAATTTTTAAACAACGCTTTTATTATTACTACGGATTGTTCGGGGTTTACTGACCGACTAACTCGTTGGCGTACTGAAATGGCATAACTTATTAACGAAAGCAAATGTTTGGAATCATGATTTATAATTGATTTTTCCTACACCGTAGCTTTATTAGTTGACATAGTATTACATGTCGTATTTATGGAAAATTTCCCTTGTGGTTGGATGGTACATCGCCATAAACATTCCCTATGTGGCGACCCCCCACCGATGGTGACCCCGCCCACCCCCACCGATGGTGACCCTCACCGATGCTAATTATATTTCAGTACAGTGATGCAACTATTGTGTTTCTTCCAATTATTTGTGTAGTTTATAACAAATCGAGAAGACACCTCATATAATACCTACGACTAACACAAAATGATGTAGTTTTATACACTACTACGCGTTATGATCATATCATCTGGGTGCCTACAGCAATACAGTATTCACAATGAAACCACTATCTACCCCATCGCTTCTGATATAGTTCCGGTCGCAGACAGAGATATGGTATTGTTATTAAAAGACATTTCTATCAGAAAAATATCAGAATAAGGGGCAACATCCTTCGTATTTTGTACAAATGAACAGACTCTGATTTTAATTATGATAAGAGACTATTCACATCTGTGGCTGGCATACGCACACTCTATCCAGAATAAGAGTTGAATACCCGGTATCTCAGTATAGTCGTTTTCATTTACCGCAATGTATCATGGGTGAAGGCAAACTGACAGACGAAGGGTAATACATGTAAGTTCAAAATGTATTAAATGGCCTCGCGAGTCTGGTGCAGATTTGAGTACTGTTAATAGGTTAATTATTCACTGGGTATTAATTTTGCTTATTTCGCTGAATGGAAATTTAGCATAGAACACATTATCTAAATGATAAAACAGTGAATTTAAAATCCACTGAATATGCCTGAAATCATGGTCACGGTAAATCAGAGAAATTTAAACCCAGTGAAAATTAGTCATTTTACAGTATTTTAATATGTGCAAAATTATTGGTAATTTGCCACCATCTTGACTCGCTGAATTTGTGGGGATCAGTGATGACCCAGTCCCTAGAAACCCCTAGAAACACGTAAAATGACCGCCATCTTGTCGTTACGTTTAAAAACCCACCTGTGTATTATAGTAAGGCTGTATATGTCTCGTGCAAATACAACTATTATAAATTCTTACCTGGTCGAATATGTGAATGCGAGGATTCCATAGTCGGTTTGGGTACTTGTGGAATGGAGGCCTGATAACCTGGAAACAATCAAATGTTTATGATTATAGTCATAATTTATTACTGTATCTAGGATTTATTTATTTATTTATTTATTTATTTATTTATTTATTTATTTATTTATTTATTTATTTATTTATTTATTTATTTATTTATTTATTTATTTATTTATTTATTTATTTATTTATTTATTTATTTATTTTTATTTTTATTTTTGATTGATTCATTTGCTCAAGTAACTCGTTTGATTATCTCTAATATTATCATACATCTTATAATTGACCAATTCACGGAATTGTCGTATCGACCAAATTTTTGCTGCGCGACAACTATACGATGAAAAAATCCATAACTTGCTTTCGAACAATGTTCCATACCTCAACTTATCAGTCTAATGCATTTAAAAAAGACAGGAAAGATGCGTGAATTTTCGATAAATTTGACTCGGCGGGAAAATTGTAGCGAACGACATGAAGCTATTATCCCATCAGTATGGCGCCACAGCGAGTTGCATCGGAAACATGAGCGTGGTTTCGGAAGCAAGACAGGATGATAACATAGTGATCCGGAAATACAACGACTAGATCCAGGGTAAAGTAAGAAATGTATGCACACTAATTTGCTTCAAGAAATTACTCTTCACTGGAATTCACAAATCTGACTTTAATTTGACATAAAATCAAAAATGTCAGGCAAAACGTCTATTCGAAACTATTAAGTGTGCGAGTCGTCACCAGTGTAGGGTCGCAATAATCCTGATCCAAATCATCATAAGCTTGTCAGCGCATTAGTAGTGTCTAGATCACGCAATATTGATTACATTTTAGTGAGGACGATACACCAAAAGCGGTTACACTGAATAAATCGGCATTTTTTCTGCCCAAAATAAGTATTGACATTCGTAATTACATATTTCAATAACATTTTTTGCCTGTCGTAGAAGAAGGAGTGTATAAATGAATACATACATATCAATGTTATCAAAACATCATCGAATTGTTCTTGTCGGCAGCCAAAGGTCGTGTAAAACAATTCCATTAAACTAACTATCACGTGACCTTTAGGCGGGAAATCGGATAATGGGATTACGGCATACTCTCAGAAAGTTGAAGATAAAACGATTTTGGCGGATTTTGCAATTAAAGGATGATACACTTACATGGCAGGTACTCTTTTTGACAAAAATCCGACGACAACACTAGTCATTAACCTTATTGATCTCAAAGGTTTTGTGGCGCAGACGACATCACAAATTAAAGTTTCCCACCGAAAGATTATCGGATACTGGTAGTACATTTTAGTAACCGTTTCAGTGAAACAATCATTCATGGCCACCAACAACGTTAACCGAAACGGAACGTGTTGTGGCAGACGACACATGATAAATGCTGAGAAATGACCGTCATCTTACTGAGTAAATGTTCACCGAATTCATAACCTCTGATTTGTGCACCATTGGCATTATTGGTAGATGTAATAAAACATAATGGTTGCACAATTATACTCATTTGATATCTCAACGGACTTTCACACGGTGAGCAGTAAAGTGAATTTGACTTTCTAACGCGTTATCTTTTTTTATAACTGTTAGCTTGTACATGAAATATTTGTGTAGAGTCTAAGATGTGGTCAGTGTTAGATAACCAATAAAGGAGTCTCTCCTTCAGAAAAAAAACGCAACGAAAACAATCACGATACTCGATAAAACGTTGGATTTAATTCCTGTTTTAATCCATTAAAATATCTACCCTCCGAGATCACTATAATGGAGTCGAGTTTGTGAGTAAACCGCGATGTTGGACATTAACGTTCAGGGGGTATCACCACGTGGCGGTTCGCCGTGGTTGGTTACTAACACGATATAGATGACCCTTTCCCAAAATTTGATGACAAGTCTATATTTTCCATTTAGCTAAATAACCCAATTGCAACATACTCCTAAAGGAAATACAATTAGGAGACAATAAAGTACATTGTTACCAAATGTTGGCGTTTATCTGCGGTGTCCTAAGGGAGATGCCGGACAGCGTTTCCATTACCATTCCCATATGGCCCTCGGTATTACCCGTCGCCGCAGTCTAAATGCACCGAACCCCCTAACTTAATGACAATAGTATATGTTGGCACGTTATCGAGTTATCGTTTTCAATTAGGGACCATAAACTGATTGCATTGAGCATGCGCCACAAATAATACATGGTTTTTTTGGGACTGCGAACACACATGCCAGGAAATATTTATTATGTTGCTGTATTTTTCCGTAATAATTTCTCAGCAATGATTTTGTCGCACTTTGAAAACTTAATAATAATCCGAAATAGAATATAGTTGACATAAAATTTGACTTTCTCTGTAAACAGTCAAAACGCATCAGTGAATTTCAGAAAAAAATGTTGCTTTTTATTAATTTGCGTTTAAGTTGCATAAGAAACCTGCACCGAGGTGACTGTGTTGTAGACACCGATTTGCATTATTTATGATGTAAGTTATTTGTCAGGGTTTGAATGACATATTTTCGGGAGGGAACTACCGTTGTAAAATCTGAAAATATGTATTCATCTTTGACTTTATTCCCTGTGATTCCCAAAAATCGCTTAAATTCGATTTCAATGACCCGCAGGTGGAAAGCGGTAGCTTCGCCTGTTTTTGTTGTATTTTTTTTTGTCTTCTTCCCTGTTTACATCGCGAAGCAAATATTCTTTTAATGAATGAGGCGTTATTATACCATTCACATGGTTTGCCCAAAGACAAATTACTAGTTGTGGGTTACTAGTGTGTGCACTGTATTTTTCGATTACGTCACCAACGCTCGACGTTTGTTCACGAAGTGATATAGTCACCAACTTATGCATACGCAGATTACATCCAAGCGATTTTACTCTCGTGGTATTTGAAATCTAACATTTACCTGTTACTTCCTGGTGAGGATTATTGTAGTGATAATAACGAGATTGGCTACGAACGAGGATGAAAAAGTGACAGAGTTGATGGCGTACTCAGACAACATGCAACATGACACTGGAAGCAGTATACAGTATATTCTAACAAAACATTGCTGTTACATTGAAGCAAAGACTATAGAGAAGATAGTCTTTGATTGAAGTTACTGTGGACTCTATTGTAACTTCTATACTACAACTGGCAATAATGTATTTTATTCACATAGTTAGGGGGTCCTCTCTCCAGGCCATTTTTATGTCAGGTTAATTAGCTCGCATTGGTTTTATTTTCTAACATCTATAATGTTTTCAGCTGGATATCACCAGGGGAGTGTACTTTCCATAATCTTCTGTATACCCTTAAACCTTAGTAAATACAACTGATTGATATGGCTTCCATGATCTGCTAGAATTTATAACTGAGAATAATTTTTATATTTAATGGCGAAATATATTAAAATATACTACTGATATTTCACTAATGCGAGGACTAGGTACCAATAAATAAGGCGCTATATTTTGCGTTGCAATACGCATGTTGTGTGTGCTGGGCTACACTGTTTGTGTTGTGTAACTTTTCTATAGTGTGTGTTGTGGGTGTGCCGCTGTGCTGTTGTATTTATTGTATTTTGTTGGGTTTACGAATCGTGCTGTTACATGACACTGTGCTCAATTGCATTATGTTGCGATGAGTTGCGATGCGTTGCGTTTTGTTGCGTGGCGTTGCGTTTCTTTTATTTGCATATCTAAATAATTTTGTGCTTTCTGTTTGAAAATGACTAATTTCACAACATCATTTACTGGTCAGTAAACAGCTTTCTATCCAATGAAATCATGTCTTTTTTCTGCGATGCAACATACTCATTTAAATGATTTCCTTTTCTATTGAATTTGTTTTTCAATAGAATACATATTTGCCCAGAAACGAAAAAACTGAAACGAAATTACTGAATAATCGGGAACTTTTCAAATATATTTTATATCAACTTGTGGTTTGATGCAACTGATTCATGCTCCGGCGTGTTGTATTTCAGGTTTCCAGAATGTTGTATTTCAGGTTTCCAGAGTGTTGTATTTCAGGTTTCCAGAGTGTTGTATTTCAGGTTTCCGAAGTGTTGTATTTCATGCTTCTAGAGTGTTGTATTTCATGTTTCCGAAGTGTTGTATTTCATATTTCCAGAGTGTTGTATTTCATATTTCAAAAGTGTTGTATTTCAGGTTTCCAGAGTGTTGTATTTCATATTTCAAAAGTGTTGTATTTCAGGTTTCCGGCGTGTTGTATTTCAGGTTTCCAAAGTGTTGTATTTCATGCTTATACGTTCTAGAGTGTTGTATTTTATGTTTCCGAAGTGTTGTATTTCAGGTTACTAGAGTGTTGTATTTCAGGTTTCCGAAGTGTTGTATTTCAGGTTTCCAGAGTGTTGTAGTTCATATTTCCAGAATGTTGTATTTCATGTTTCAAAAGTGTTGTATTTCAGGTTTCCAGAGTGATGTATTTCATGTTTCCAAAGTGTTGTATTTCTTGCTTCCATTGCGACATATTTCATGTTTTCAGATATTTTTTCTTTTTTTGTAATTATTATACATATTAAATGTTTCAGTTTTCTGAAATGTATTTTAACGGACTGCCGAACATAAACATATATACGTTACGTGGAGGGGTGCGGGCAGCAAGATAGGGATGCACCAATGGACATATTGTGGCGGAGAACAAACGTTATCCCTGAATCATTAAATAAAAGCTTGAGAAAGCACGTCAAAAATGCGATAATAAATCCACCCTTTCTCTCCAATATTCAACCCTTATACACATAGAAGAACTTGTTTTATTTAATTCTGTTTGTGTTCAGAGAGAAAAAGAAGGTAGATGTATAAACAAAGTTTTGCTGTAATGAAATTTGAAGGAACGCAATCTTCCATCACTGCTTGCTGTGAATATATCACCCCCCCCCCACCCATGACGTATACATGTTTACCAACCTTTTAATATAAAGCTCGGAATAATTTCTCACAATCGGATTTTCTGCATTTCCCATATCAACTCGCCAAAAGTCATGGTGGCTTACTACTCACAATGCGCCGCGATATCGACTAACAGAAAGTCATTTCTGTCGTGTCGACTGCAGGGTTACGGTGTCTGACCGACAATATGCGTTGATATCATCCGGAGAAATTCTACACAGCGGGTAATGATAGTGTGTGGGGGGAGACGTGAAAGGAGGAACACTCGGAGCTAGTTGAACATATTTCGAAGGACGAAAATTGTCACAAAAGTGGAAATCTTTTTAACAGTTTCATGGTACGACACACAGGCTCGATGGGGTCGCCATTGACAACAACGAAGTACAATAATGACCGTTATTATGGATATAATATTGTTACCATCGAACGAACGTTAAAAATCATATCCCCCGTCGTGGCTTTGACGAAGCGCTTCTGACTTAGCACGATTTATTTCCGACCGGCTTTACACGATTCGTCTGTTTCACCCACGATTATACCCGTATAGTGATTAGAGTAGTTGACTTCGCTGAGTGAAGTGGCGCTGTACTGACTGCACGGTTACTAATAAATGCCACGATGCATGTCGATGTCGATGCTACATAATTTGACTGAAGCGCGTTTTAGCTTGATAACCCTTGGCGCCAGTTGCGACTATTTCTTTAATTTACCATTCACGTTCGATATCCCAACCCAACGAAGATTATCTTTGGTGTTAAATGCAATTGTAATAACGTAAAAGAAGAATGAAGTGCGTCGTTACTACCAATAACAATAACATGTAGCGATAAAAGCTGCAGCCGTTCGCTTTCAGTGAGAGACAAGACTACAATCTACGAAAACACTCACTAGCATTAACTTTTTTTTTTACAAAGACCACAATAAAATATATTACGACACAGATTTGTGTTGACCGAGTTTTAGCGGAGCATGTATCATTACAGCAGCTCGCGAAGTGGTTGGCGCGGCAGTGCACCGCGAACCAAACACACCCCGACTTTCTCCACTGCATCTTTGGCCAGCCACAGGCACAAGCCGTTTCGCATACGCCAATCTTTCTCAGCTACCCATCCTCCCCCTTTACTTTGACAATTATCAAATATGTATTTACTAAAACAGGACATCAGCAGTGAAGTAACGTGTTCCTCTTCAAGTTGGTCGTCTAAGCACTGTACCACATACTTCTTGGCTGGCGGACTGCATTTACTGAACGGCAGCGCGAATTACACTCAAACTAAGAAATACAATTTTAGCGAAAGACACTGACCTAATCAATCGGGTATTATTGAGTTCCATATTTGCCCTTGAATTGAGATTTGTGTGTCATATTTTGAGAATATTCTGATATCAAGCCGTATAAATATCAAATATATGTTTGGATGTGAGACGAGTCTCTTTAAAAACAAGAAAGTAGAATATTGCGTTTTCCATTTCCCCCGAATTTGTATATTTTCTGACAAATTGAAGGCATTTAAAAAAAAAATAATCCAATCTTCCAACACTTAGAAGAAAGCGGTTATCTTCCAATAGTCATTCAATAACATAAGATACAAATACTAAAAACAAATATGAATACCGGTAAACTAATGACGCAAAAAATGTTTGTGTATTCTCGACATTTTTTACTTATTTGTTCAGATAGGTTCACAAATTCTTAAAACACTATGGACCTGTTGGCGACATGTCTTATGTTTTAAAATTGATGTTTAGATATATATGGCTGATATAGTGATGGACTTACTTTTTTGTTGTGATGACGTAGATCCACCCCATGCGACTTGACGTTCTCGCATCAAACACTCATATGACGATTCGGCTTCAAAAAAAAATGAAAACAAGAAAAATCAATAAAACATGAAATAAAACAAAACATTCTATACTTTCTCAGGCCAATCTAAAATATTGGAATGTTGGCGAACGCTGAGTGGAATATAAACATAATACCAACATTCTAAGAAATAACACAAATCCAGCCTGAGTATTTAAATTGAAACTACTAGGCAAACGATTATTAAAAATGTATTTTTGTTACAAGAGCAACGGAACAAAATGATACTTTTAAATCTGCAGTTTTCATTTCTACACTAACTGCGATTCATTCAATGTTTCGTTGTGTATGTGTTATCCCCTCAGTCGTGCATCTCGTGGTTTTCATATACGATATACCGCCACCACACCGTAGTAATGTGCCATCGTCTGTTAAGCACACTGACCGAAGTGCGCGTTAAAGTGATACGGTATACACCGAAGGGACGATATTCAGAACGATTTATTCCAAAATATTTGCCACAAATGCCCCAAGCTGGTAAGATTGTAAATATTGTAAAATATTCATATATAATAGTGTACCACATTCCAAATCGGGAATTTTGAATATATACTAAATAAGAAAATGATATTGCCAATTCTTTTTTCATTTTTACAAAAATCTTCTGTTGTTCAAAGTTGACAAAAACAATTCTATAGATTTTAAGTGAATAGAGCAAAACATAACATGAAAAAATGACGGAGATGGTAGTTATGTGTGCCTTGCACTAAATTTGATACCCAACAACGTCTTTTCAGACTGGCAGGAAGTATTTGTCGAACATTCTGACAAAAAACTTATATAAACGAAAGTTTGAAAAATATAATTGTATTTGATCGTTTACTTTCTTTCGTAAATCTCACGGTTGTCATAACAACAAAAATGTAAATACCTGTAGGGGTAAGAAACATCGGACAGGCGAATTTGCAACTGCTATTGGCGCAGTCGGTCTGGGACGACATCTGCTTACAGGACCTCGCGAAGTCGGGGACAAACGGCGGCGCCGGTGATCTTCCGTGGGACTCCGTCTTGGCTGACTGGAAAATTGACTGCTACGTGAATTGTTTCCGAGCCGAGGTGTTTCCTTTTTTTCAGATAAGAGGTTATTTGTGGCTTCACCGAAGGAACAGACGATAGATAGAGACAAAATACTGAACTAACGCAGATAAATCGAAATCTGTCGGAAGTTGGCGTCAATTGTCACTACACGATGTTGTCGGTTGGAGCGTGGTTGGGGATATGTCGTTCCGTTCACGATATTGGGCACTTTACATCAATGAACCCAACCACTCAATTATGACAGAATGCAAGATTTGACATCAACGCTAGGGATGCAGATTTACTGACCCCCTAGCATGATGATGTTTATTTATCCAATACAAAGCCAGTTCGATAACACTTCCTCCCTCATCTGTACCAGATCTTCATACTTCTATGTGATTTATTATTATTATGATTTTGTAATCGATTGAACAAACGCAAGCTTAATTTGGAAGAAATCGGTGTTATTAATTGAGTATTAATCTAATTTATAAATAGAGCAAATTATAACAGATTTTCATAAAATCACGATGATATGCTCGGAGTTGGGAAAACAACTACAACTACAATGTTGTTGACAGCGATAAAAAACATGCAGTATTCCGACGTCCGTCTTTACATACCAGTGATACGGGTAGAAGTGAATTCCTTCACAATCTGTTCATCGATTAATGACGTCAGTGAATAGTCAAGAAATAGTTATTGGGGATTGGGTTAACGAATTAGATACTTGTACAAACTCGACAAATATAACCATTTTATATTTTTATTTTTTTATTTCGCAGAGAAAAAATACTCCTTCTTCCATCTGAGTTGTACAAATGTTCAATTTGCTGAATTATTCTGCTACAGGATAAAATTAACTTAACCGCATGAATCTGGATGTGACATGGAAATAATTCTTGTAACTTAAGGGGTTTTATAACAACCAATCATAACTAGTCTTTTCGAAAATCTTGGTTGTTTACAGCGATGCGTGTCGTCACGTTTTGATCCCATTTACATTGACTGCAACGCGTTTCTAGCGGAGATTCCAACATCCGCAGCGTTTCCCGTTGACGCACATTGACATTTAGTTCCGTACAAGAAATGTAACACCCAACCCAGTGAACCAAATACTGTCGGCTTATGCAGTAATTTGAGTTTAATTAACTCATTGTAACGCAAATAAAATGTCACGTTTCTCTACGTGAACATGGTCAGTTCAACTGTTAGACCATGAACATACGTTATTTTTTGTCTTTAACTATTTTTCGCATATTTCATTCATAGGATATCAGATGGTTTCACGGATTCAAAGCCCCTAGACATTCGTGCACTGGTATATCATATACCCGTCATGATGTCGTGGTATTGATAACTTGGTATCGAATTATATTTCACATTATTCGATGTACCAGTAACCTAATGCTTGCGTGCACTTGTCGAGGTAAAATAAGCCATAGATGCCGCGCAACAAACACAACGCTGTATTTTCCTGGTATTTTAATTTATTTCAGGGATAGCGAACCCAAATAATCAGCATATTCAATTTAAATTGCGCACTGTTTCGGAGTCTCTGTTTTACCCCTAAAACTGAAATATATGGGTAGAGCAAAGGTCTCATCCAAATGGCGTAGTTGCGTAACAATTGTTATAACTCAGCGTGTGGTGTCCGGTATAGACGTTGGGATACCCCACGCAATGCCTCGTTCATTGTAGTCAGGGTCGTTCAGATAGCACAATACACAACAATACTAGTACTTACTGTGTTCAGTGTAACTGCTGTCGACCAAGGGAAAGTTACGAACACGTCGTTATTGTGTACAATGAATGGAAAAATACAATATAACGAGGAGTAGAGCACCACTGAAGATCAACTTCATGTAATTCGATAGGCGTGCTGCCTACAACGCATATAGGTCGGGTCTGAGAACAAATTGCGGTATGTCATTACCAAACTGGCTACAATCGACGTTACAGTGGAAGTCTTGTCACAGGGGAGACGATGTTGTCAGCGGCGTGTGCATTATCACAACTTTACACTGATTAACGATGAAAACTAGAGCCTTGGCTGACACACACGAATACGTACACATACGTGCACGGAGATGGGTCTTGCGTTGTAATCTAACATCATCATTCACAGTTCAGATGAGCAAGCCGGCTTATAGCTTTCCGAATTTCTTTAGCGAAGTGACATGAGCTTCAGTACAATCAAGTACTACGTAATTACAAGAGGGCGGTTTATCGTTTCATTTATTAACTGTCCGTTAAACTCCTATAAAGGTTCGGGACATTATTGATACATCAAGCTAATCGCAATGCTTTCTACATAGTAAAGCGCAAAATCACGAAAATACGATGTGGTCTGTTTGAGAATAAGTGTGACCAGTGTAAGCATGTGAGCCTTTAATTTCCCATCGGATTGGAAGATGGATAGAAGCAGATAAATGATTTTTGATAATTCCGTGCCTTTGTAAAAAATACTTTCCTGGGTGTTGGGTGTTGAGGTCGTATTTTATACAGAATTTACAAGAGATTTCCGAGAACTGGCAGATCTAAATATAAACTGACAATTGAAAAAAGAAATTGCTCTCAATTGATGGCATATTTATTCATTTATATCAAAAATGACCCTGTTTTCAAATATCGCACAAATAATCAAAACGTGTTTTTTTCTACAAGAATTCAGTCGTGGTTATTATGAATGTACATGAAAACTTCTTTTGTTTTGGACGCAATCCCCGGGATATAGGGACAGTGTTTTGGTATTGTAATCGTAATGAGCAGAACAATACTACTGGTACGTATAAACTAGTTGTCAGTATAGACTAAATCTGAAACCGTCTGATTTTATGAGCGCTCTGACCGACATGCATGTTTTAAAACAATCGTACACGCTTATTGACAATAGTGTTTTCAGCATTCACGTCACAATTTCCAGTGCGACATCTCAATTATCTTACCATTCATGTCACAATATTATAATATATGGAACTCAAAAATGTTTGATTCCCCGGTATTAATGTAACATGGGGACAGTGCGCCAAGGACTCCGTATCCGATGCTTCCGGGCACGGTGTATCTCAGTCCACCCTACAGGTTCGATGTATATACGTATGATGTATTTGACGTACATATGGCCGTATGTATCTCCGTCCACACGTGGGTCTTGGTGATCCTCCGCCCACCCCGGGCCCATAGAACCGGTTGACACGTGCACCTGGACACATGGCCCGGTTGTTCTCTCCGTTCATGTGGATCCTGTGTTCCAATGTCGACGTCAGGATGATGTTCACCCATCCCGCGGGGACGGCTTTCTCCCGTAACCCGTCGTTCCCTGAACTTGAATACCCACGTGTGTCATTTACTAGATGTACCTCGGGTCTGGGTATTCATGTCACTTAAATTGCGGTTACAGGCTTTCACGAAAATCACGTGACAATTAACCGAATATTTTCTGATGGAATGTTTTGTTTTGTTTTTTTCATTACTATAATAAACAAGAATGTGGTATGATTATGTATTGGAATCAACGTACATTATTATAGGTTTACGATAAAATTGATTTCATTTCAATGCCATCAACGCAATACTTCTAGACCTACCCTAGACTATTATTTGCATGCATAATTTTGTTGTTAACATGAAGAATCAAATAGCATAAAATACGAACCCTCTCTACCCATTGAATTCTTGGCGTTCCGCGTGATACCCAAAAATCTCCGAGACTGATGGATACTGAGTTTTATTTTTATTGTTCGTAGTTGCACTTGATTCACGTTCTTTGTGAACCCACTTAACGTACAAGTACGCTATTTACCACCACGCCCTTTAGAACATCCTAATGACCACGCTTTATAGATAGCGGTACAGTCAGTGTGTGCTAGGGTCGCGAAAATCACGCGGTTAACCGTCATACGCGATGATCGCAACCTTAAACACTGCCTTCGTGACACGTTCAATGTACAATTCTCTCAGTTTCAATGACTATGATGTCACTTATTAACCAATGTGTCATATAGTATGCAAACAGCTCTGGAAACGTTAGATATACGAGGATATAAGTTCATTATTATTTCACTGATACACTAAGGTATCGCAATAAAGTACAACTACAATATCAATAGTATTATTATAAAAAACAGAATGGGAATCAAATTCAAGGTTATGGAGTTTAATGGGGTGAACCACCTTATTGATTTCGATGAAAAATATCCTTCCTTTCAATATTTTAATTACACTAGATAAAAGATGAGATGACGCGGAAGACCCAATATTGTTATAGTGGTCCGTGGGTGGATCCCGTGAAAAAACACGAATTGTATTTCGCACGGGTCTTTGCAGGATCAACAAACACTGAACCAAGACTCGGCAAATACGTCTGACGATTAGGCAATATCGAGAATAAGCACGGTAATGAAACTAGTCTCAAATATGGCATCTCAAGCTATCAACAGCCTGAAACACCCGAATTACTGTAGTTTTGTTCTTCTAACTGAACAATGTTTACGACGTGCATCAATTAAGTGTTTTAAAACAAGCTTAAGTATGATTAAAAAACACTTGTTGCAAACAATGGAGCCATCTATTTAATGTAAAGTGATCGAAAATGTGTTCCGCTATTGTTCTGGCCTGTGAGAAAATAACTTCGTATGTAAATAGAAATTGGCGGAGTGTGTGGTTGTTTGGTAATTCGCTGTATTGAGTGACGTGTGTGGTTGTTTGGTAATTCTGAATTGACTGACGAGCCACAAAACATTGCCGGATACAAGCGTGTGAAAGAGATAGCGCCATTCTTGTTTGAATAAAGCTTAATTTTCTTGAAAACAATACACAATTAAAAAAGACGTTTCAATAATATTCAATATGGTATTTTTTTCCTTCTCACGGGCAAAATATAACAATAAGTGCAGACGATAACCAAAACTTCATAGCAACTGATAAACATTGCGTTTATTACGTGGCATTAATAAAGGGGCATGACCTACATTTTTCTTCTGATTTGTTAGTCTATAACACAGAGACAAAATGAACGTTGTGATGAGGTACATTGTTAGGATGTTCATATGAAAAGAGTTCATAGAATATGAATTGGTAGACGACCAACAAATCATTGGAGATATTGATCAGTGCATCAAAAAGTCAAGATAATGTCTTGGATCAACCGATCTGGAAACGACATTATATATGTTCTCGTACTAGTTAACTGTACCAGAATTTACTGTCTTCATAATTAATGACAATCGAGAAGTGTTAGAAACTATACGTAATATGTTTTGTAATATTTTGACGTCTCTGTCAACACATTCTAGTTCCGCGGTGTTACGGTACGTCACATCAGAGGAGAGTCGAACGAGGCTGGCAAAACACTGTGATAAATCTGTACATATCGCTGGCTAGACGTATACAGCTACATACCACCTCACGGTCACTCTCAAGTAAAACTTGCCGACAGTTTAGAGACATCCAACCAAAACACACTTTTAACTGACCGTATGTGTTGCTAAAACAACACTTGAATATGTTATGCCTTCATACTTAGTTATTGTTAGTCCTTATATAAACAAAGATAAAAAAAAAATTATCTCGACAGGTTGTAATGTATAATGTGCCATGTTGTATAAACCATATGAATTGTATAGTATTTGATTTATTTTACCAAAAAATATAAAACAACAGAAAACAAGCAATGTGAGAAAGGAAAAAAAGGATGTTTGATAGTATAGTAGTTATTTTGTCATCCGTGTTCTGACATTATATCATAATTTTGTAAAAAAAAAAACCCATAAATATACTACATATATGTTGTTTTTAATAGCATGGGGTTTGATTACATGCCGGGCGTGTCGTTTTTCATTTAAAACGTGGAAGTATAAATACATAGGCACAGTATTGAATGGTCCACTTTCTAGCTTAGAGGTATAGCATTAGTTTTCCATTTGGATTACAATTTGATTTCAATCGAATCATGCAATTAATGCTATCAGTGCTGATCATTGTACAGGATACCCATCGCAACCATATGGAGTTAGTTGTAACGAATGTGAATAGCGTGAGAATCTGGTACATTTGCTTGTCGAAGGGAAAATAAATTATATAGTTTTCGTCATGTTCCGCGGAACAGGGGAATTGATAGTTATTTAGTTAGTTAGCTAGGTAGGTAGGCTAATATTAAGTATCTCATACACAAAGAGTGGAAAATCGTAGAATCCACGGAACAAATATAGAACCAACACACATATATCTACATATATATCTACATCTACAAATTTTGACATCGAAATCTTATGTTGATATGAACAGGGGGTCACACGTTAGAATGGACAATCACAACATTAAATTCAACACACCTACAGTTAAGTCGGGACATTCATATCGGGACTAGGGGGCAGCTTACGTATTTCAAAGTGCAAACAAAAACCACTGTTTACACCTGATCAATGTACCCTATCTTTAAAACTAAACAGCTTAAACCCTGATTATACCGTTTTATAAAAACGTTCATGCTATTTTCGTTTGCTTGTTCATTTTCTACAGGCACAAGCCACGCGTTCAGGTTTTCAACAAACGACTTGTCAGAAGGCCCCACAATAGCGACGCTTGCTCACTGACTATGCAATTCCAGCCGATGGCAAAACATCGAAAACACCAACCATCTGCGGAGATCTGTTATTTAGTACATACACATTTAAGCTTAAACCCTGTATTTCTTTTACTGCCAATCTTAATGTTAATATAGCTCTTATCACAGATGCGGAGTACATGCAATCGCTTTTGTCCGTATTGTACGATCAAAAAATACCCACTCTTTTATACCAAGCAGAAGTAAATGCTTTGCTTTATATGATTTGATAGTTTTCCAGTTGTTGACACTGCTCCTTATTTATTTATTTATTTATTTATTTATTTATTTATTTATTTATTTATTTATTTATTTATTTATTTATTTATTTATTTATTTATTTATTTATTCATTTATTCATTTATTCATTCATTCATTCATTCATTCATTCATTCATTCATTCATTCATTCATTCATAAATTAATTAATTCATTAATTCATTCATTCATTTACAAACCAAATTAAAAAAAATATCATATACAAACTATGGCAAATAATAAAGATCACAAATTAAGAGTCGAAAAAAAAAGAATAATAATTGACAATAAAATTAATTTCAACTTTGTTTCGAAGTAGGATGATTTCCAATCAAATCAGCTTAGGTTTGTTTCAAAATGTCATATTTAGGATGTAAATCGCGATATGTTCGAGAAATATATAAAATGAAATTAATTTATCGTAAACAAAATAACTCCACGATCTTGTCTGTGTGCGACTTGGCAAATAATACTTTAAAAGAACGAGTGGGCATATACGGATGCCATCGCCTTGGAGATCGATCAGTATAATCAATTGGTAAAAACCGTTATGACATGACCCCGTATAGTCGGGATATTTGAAGCACTTAGTCCATACAATACCAACCGACGCTGTCCAACGGCTTCTGGGCATGCTTTCCATTTTCAGCTATTCAATTCATATCTTCTTTAATCCCAGTTAATCTCGTTTTTTCGAGATTTGTTATAAAAGTACGGGAGACAGGAGTTATAAAACAGGTGGTGAGCACGTGAGTGTAAATGTACACCAGAAGAAAGGATTTCAAGCCGGCAGTTCAAGTTCTGTTTGAAAAGAAATTTATGCTGCGATTACGTCATATCAGCTGCGTGTATCAACTTGTATATGTAACAAACCAATGAAATTAGTAGTCGAATCACGATTCACTATTCGGCATATGCAAGGTGACAACTTGAAAAGCGAATCACTATTCGGCATATGCAAGGTGACAACTTCAAGTTGAAAAGCGAATCACTATTCGTCATAAGCAGGGTGACAACTTGAAACTATTTGCCATATGCAGGGTAACAACTTGAAACTATTCGTCATATGCAAGGTGACAACTTGAAACTATTTGCCATATGCAGGGTGACAACTTGAAAAGTGAATCACTATTTCGCCCTATTCAGGGTTACAACTTGAAAAGTGAATCACTATTTCGCCCTATTCAGGGTTACAACTTGAAAAGTGAATCACTATTTCGCCCTATTCAGGGTTACAACTTGAAAAGTGAATCACTATTTCGCAGTATTCAGGGTGACAATTTTAGTATCTCCATTATTGACCAATACTACAATGAGTGACATGGAGCGTTTTCATGATTGACCAGGGTTACACTGGACTGACATGGAGTATTTCCATTACCAACCAATGATACAATGGATTGGCATTGAGTGTCCCAAAA